TGTGTTTTGGGGGGGGTGGGGACGCAACATTTCGCACTTAATTGTTTGGTTTTATTGGGATTTTTATATGGTACAACAAAACTCATCAATTAATTTCAGAGCTAACTATAATGAAGACCCTTCTCACCATTTTCTGAAAGTGTTTCTTATATTTTTTTATCTGACCAGAACGGTGCTTCTGTCAAGACAAATGACTGATGATTGGCATTTCTAACCTGGCTGAAGCACTGTTGGCAGCATTGGCGATGTTCATTACTCCGTACAAGCAGCCAATTTTGCCCAGAGCAGATGAACTTATATATAATTAGAATTTCAATTACAGACATTGACTTACGTGTTTTGTTTTCAGAATGGAGTACAGGCAATGACATTCACACTGGCTGATGTATTCCGACAACTTTCTTGGAGTACCGCCGTGCGCACTGTCACAAAACTATCACAACTGGTATTTCTTTCTGGTAACAAATAAACAACCGACAACAATTTTCTATGTTGTGACACTGTTCAAGTATGTTCGAATTGCCACTATTTCCGACACTGCGATTATGTTGTCCATAGTTGCTGATACACCATAGCTGGTTGTGTCTTGTCGTGTTGTTACTAACAGTTTTATGTATCCTGCTATCAGCAGGATCTGTGTTCACAAAAGGAGTACGGCTCTCGGTTGGCGGTAAGATGACTGTAATTCTTGCACCAACTACCAACCTCCTAAACCCGATTGGCCGCGTGACGAACCGGTGAAAGCTCGTTGTCAACAGAAAACTGAACGTGCCACGTACATCTGAAACGCAGTTCACAGTCTGGCTAACCTCCTCGGTTACTGACGTCTCGCTGCTGCTGGTCGCTGACCGAATGTGAATTATTAGGCTGGAAACCAGTTCCAAGATGTAGAATTGCACAGACAACACAAGCAGCATTGCAGAAAAGCATTTTGGAAGTAAATATAAAGAACAATTACTTTTCCTTTCCACTCATTTTACTACAAAACATTACGACCACAGGTAGAATTCACTTTTATATGTGGAACTGACTTTTATTGAACAGTAATGACAAACGTTCTCGGAAATTCCTTATTTAATTGGGTTCAAACGTCACTCGACAAATTAAGATCCGCATTATCCTGGTTTGTCTTAACGGGCTGAATGCTAAACATACTAAAGTTATAATAACAATGCACTTGTGTTTCTAATATTGGATCGGGGCCACACATTTACTTATGGCAGTTTTTGTGACTGGCCAAGTGCCAACAAATAACGCTTATTGGTAGTTTAAAACAGTTGAACTTATGCCAACAATGGTACGTCCTACTTTTTTTTTCCGTTTGGAGCGCTACCAAATTATAACGTCACTGTGTGTGCTTTTTTTACGATTGATGGACGTAAAAATCGGTTAAGGTTATTTTGAAATTCTTTAACGAAAACTATGCTCTCAAATTCTTTGGATGATTATCAATTTCTGGAATATTTTAACCTACAACTCAACAATAGGGGCGTGTACCAAGGTGCACAGTTGCAAAATGTAGAGAAGAAAACGGCTGATGGTTCCACAAGAAACTGCAGATTATTCTAAAACACAGTCACACGGCAGTGAAGAGCATCATCCATACACAAGTGTTATCCACCGCCCACTCACATTAAAATATAACCGCCGTTTTCTTTTCATTTGTGAACAAAATTCTCTATTTTCGAAATTAGGATGAAATACGTCCCTCACTGTACCATTCTTTAGGTTCAGGATGTTTCAGATCACACGAAAACATTTGTTAAGAAAACAGACTTGACGGTTGTACACATCAAATACCAGCAACTTCTTTAACCGAGAAGTTTAACTGCATTATGTGATATAAATGTCGAAGCGCAGCCGATATAACAACCAACACCCTTCCAAAACAAACAACCTCCACGGCCTACCACGACCAACTGAATTCACTGCAAGCGCTTGAAGTCTGCGCTCGTTTGCAGCTCGCCACGGAGGGCAGGTTAGTAGGAGCAAGATAGCCAACCTGACAACAACAAAGTCGCTGAACAAAGTAAGCGGGATTCACACGATGCAAATACTGCGTTCATAAAACGACGAAGACATTGTCTTCACACATTTAACGAACCGTGAGCCGAAGACACAATGGAGAATTTCGCTTAGTTTTAATAAACTTCAGGAGATTTATGCGTTTCAAAATTATCCAATATTTCATAGAGAATTCTTCAATCCAGATAACTTACGAAGTTCGACTCAAAAAATCGCCGCTCACAGTATAGCACAAGGAGAAAGCTGCGTGCATTCCTACATAAAAATAAAATGCCTACATTATTACAACCAACTTAGAGGCAGAGAATGTACCTACGTATTTCGTTGGGTATTTAAAATTTTACCTCTCCCCAAACTGTCAGAACAGCTGTTCTAGAACAAACCTAGTAACCAACAAAATCGAATTCCATTCCAAACAAACATCAAGCAACAACAGAAAAATGAGGCCAAAAACACTTCAACGGACCCAAAGCAATAAACCGTCAAATTTCACAGCGTCGAACTGAACACCAAATTTAGTATCAAATTTGGCCCCAGTTCCAGTTCCAACCTTGACATTTTACTAAATTTTAATTCTATTAAAAATGTCAAAACAATACACCTTATATCAATAATAGTAGTAAAATTGACAGTGCTTAATTGGGGAAACCGAATGTGTAACATATGTAATCATCTGAGGATAATCATGTAATGGCCCTAACATATGCATTATTAACTAACAATTAATTGCCCAGCGTAGAGAAGTGACCTTGTGATTAAGTAATAAATAATTACACAATTCAGCAAATTTACTGTGCGTTCCGTACTGAAGGCGGGTAAGTGCAACCAACTGAATCGAAGCAACAGGATATTACAGTACAGAATTACTAAAGAAAATGGCCTCCGCCATTTTGTCGAAGACAAGAAAGCTTATGTCAAATTCGAAGGACCTTCCAGACACATAGTGACTTCAAGCCAGGAGCCTGACAGCTAAATTACAAATCGATTTTAAATTATTGTCGGGGTTTCCGTGATCTACAATGTTCAAACCGAAAAAAAAAATAAAAAAAGTAAAACTGCTAGTGGAATGTGAAAATGTAACTCAGTAAGTTCTACTTGGCAACTCTGCATTCGCCGCATTGATGTCTGGGAGAAAATATGACGTCATATCTCAAAATGGGCGCTGGGTTGGGCGTGATGGCCCAATTCCATGGCATTCGCGCTCACCCGACATTGCGCCGCTTGATATCTTCCTATGAGGATACGTTAAGGACATTGCTTACAAGGTCCCTGTGACCTCCCTCGATGAACTGAAGCCCAGAAGTGTTGCTGCGATCTAAACAGTTACACCGCAAATGTTGGAGAACATTTAGAGGTACGTTCAGTACAGCCTGGACATCTGCACTAAGAAAGGCGCGCATGTTGAAGTTGTTTAGCATTTTGCAGCACTGATTCTATACGTAATGAAATTTTCAGTTATATTTTCATATTTCTTAAGTATTTTCTTCTTTTTCCTGTTTTGAAAATTACAGACCACGGAAAACCCCACAATAATTTAGAATCACCCTGTGCATATAAGTCACCTGATGTTCCCCCCAAAACAGCTTTATTGACGTCAAAGCACAATTCACTGTGTAGATTCCAAAGGGTTCTGACGTTTCAGAAACTGCCCCTCTTTCCGTCCTCAGGTTGGAAACATTCTATTGGGTCTGTCAGAAAGAGCTAGGGCCAGTGATTGGGGTTAATTCTTTCTAACGGACCCATCACGCCCTCACCTGAGGATCGAAACAGATCCAGTTTACGAAATGTCGTGTTCTTTAAAATACCGAAAGAAGGACAAAGTCCGAAAGCATAGTAGTTCCGAGGATAATGCATAGATGGCATCGCTAGCGCCTGCGCGGTTGGGCCGATTTCATTCGTGTTCGGTATTCAAGAATCCATCCATCAAGAGGACAAAGCCTGGTGAGTATGAACATTCCAACTCCAGAACAAAAATAATAACTTCCCAAAAACGGCTCTAACACTTTTTACTAGGTAAAGGTATCCCTGTAATAGCCCGTGGAGGCTCATAGGGTTGTGAGACGTCGAGGCTCCCACATTTTCTATACAATCGGCTCAGAGATGGCGGTGAAGTTGTCAGCCTTACGCCCCGGTGGGCCTCTCTTTCCCCCCAGGAAGATTCCTGGTACTCATTTCTGTTAGAGGCTGAGTAGAGCCCAGGGTCATAGTACGGCTGGAAGGATTAGGTAAATTTAAAAATCCAATGACCTCATCGGGAATCAAACGCGACCTTCCGGCTTGTAGCATAGTGCCTCAACCCAGTACGCTGCCATGTGCCCCTAACGTCTAATTAAATGTCAGTAATGTATGGAGACGATGTCCATAAATAAAGCTGGTTTCTCCGGGAAAACAACGGCAAGCTCGAAAGATCCTCACAGTCCGTAAGAAAGCACTGCCTCTGTAGTGCGGACGGGCAACCCATGTAAGCAAGCAGCTTCTACATACTTTCTGTTTGCTTGGCATATCTTCGACCTTGTAGAAGGAATCAGTACGTTCTAGCAGTCTACACGGCGTAACTGTTCAGGCTATGAGAAACTCGAATCCAAAGTAGCGGATTAATTGTTTACTCAATTGGCTAACTACGGGGCGCGCGGTAACGTAGTTTATTGAAACACTGTGCTACAAGGCAGAAGGTTGCGGGTTCGATTCTCGATTAGGTCATTGGATTTTCAATCGACCTAATCCTTCCAGTCGCAACTATGGCCCTGGGGTCGACACAGCCTCTGACAGAAATGAGCACCAGGAATCTACCTGGGAGGTAAAGGGCGGCCGGCGTGTAAGGCTTGCAAACTTACCGCCATCTGTGAGCCGACTGTCTAGAGAAAATGTGGGAGCCTCGATGTCTCACAACCCTATGGGCCTCCATGGCCTGTTACAGAGATAGCTAATTGTCTAACTAGGAAATCGGTGATGATTTTATTTGTTTATTAAATCATAAGTGGATTTGTTAATTGGTGGTTATTTAGTTACTCAGTTAACTAGTTAATTCGTTAATTGAATGGTTAGTTAGTTACTGGTTGGCTAGTTGAATAATTGATTGATTGGTTTGTTCAATTTTGGTTGGCCAATAAGGGCGAGTGAATCAGTCATGTCGTTTGAGGTTATCAAGTCGATGACTATGAATATTACTGTCTTATGGGGTGTGCCATCATGAAACCTAGCATATATTCAGCAATGTTTCAGAGCAACCTGCTACCTCCATCTTCAGGGTTTAAGAGAGAGCCGCGCAGAGAAAACGGTGAGTCGTACAAGGAATGGAGGACAAGGACTGAAGCTAATCTTCCCTCCTGAAGATGGTGGCAGCATTTTGCTGCTAAACATTTGTACCTACATACAGTGATCAGTGATCACCTTGAGAAGTAGATCTCATTCGTGACAGAGGGTTCGGTACTGCCAGCAGCGGTCAGTCTGTAATGGTTCATATAAATGGACATATTTGTGAAGTAAGCCGTTTTAATTAAGTTTTTGATAAGGTGGAAAAAAGGCCACGCCATAGCTCAAGTGGTTAGTCGCTGGCTTCCCACCGCGGCGGCTCGGGTTCGATCCCAGGTCTCATCAAGTGGGATTTATGGTGGACAAAGTGGCGCGGAGGCGGGTTCCCTCCGAGTACTTCGGTTTCCCCTGCCAATCTTCATTCCACCAAATTCTCCATCATCATAATCATCTGGGGCAGGCAACAGTAGGCCAATCAGTGACGGCCGTGCCGAGTGGACCCAGTTGGACTTCACCTCTCACTAAGCGAATTAAAAAAAAAAATTAAAGGTGGAAAAAACGTAAAGTAACAAACTAAGTATGCCATGAAGTCGTATATGGAGTTGATATATAAATTCAAGTATTCTTGACCTTGACCCTAGTTCGAAGTGAGAGGTGAGTTTCATGCCCCGGCCGCTTTACCCCCGTGGAAAGAGCCCCCAATAACCAATGGAGAGGAGACGGGGTGAGTCCCAGAATCGGTGTGGACAAAAATCTCTCCTTTACCGGGACTAGAGCTCCGACCCCCTCAGCCGTCCAGCCCGCAGCGAGTTGCTATACCGGCTGAGCTACCCCGGCTCTCTCAGCTGTCGATACACGGAGTATAGTTGGCTCAAGGGGCAACACTTCTAGTTCGCGTTCAGAAAGTATCCGGTTCGAATTTCAGCCGCCATATTCTGGCTGGTGCACTTCGCTGTCTTCCTCGGACCGTCCAGGAAAATGTCTGAATAGTACCTAAAGTTACGGCTTTGCAGTTCCTTCTACATCCGTCCTTATGCATTATTCACTATAACCGTCATTCGACGCAGCATAGTTTGAACTACGGGTGACGTCATTAAATGAAACATAAATAGGCAGAACGTACGTGGCGTCGAGTCTTCGATCCGTTGCTTGTTAGGTTTTTCTTTTTTGTCATCTAGACGGAGTTACTGGTCGACAACGGCTTCGTTTCCGTGCAACGAAATAATCGATAACATCGATCGTTTTCTCGACCTCGCAATCGAATCTTTAAAAATGGAAACTCCTTGCGCAAAGCTACATGAAAAAGTTAAGAGGTGACGCATACTGTATGTCTTCTTGCTGGCGTGCGATTCTGTTGCTGAGACTAAGACTCGCCATGCTGAGCTCCCTCCAATCAACTCCAATTCTGAAATATACAGGCCTTCCCATGCAGCATATTGCATTTGCGTGATCTTCTAAAGAAGTGTTTCTTAACCGCCGGGCCGCGGCCCCGTACCGGGCCCTCGTCTTACAAGAAAAAGAATTTGCCGGGCCGCGGTCTCACAAAGATTGAGAACCACTGTTCTAAAAGACAATCTGCTTTTACGCTTAAAAAGTGCCTTTTCCTTCTTCCAGAGGATTCTTAGAAAACACC